GGAAGTCATTTTGACTGATTTTAATTTCATTTAGAAAAACAATTACGTATATAATGACACCATTTCTTAGACATTCTTAGAATATATTTTTTTGCCAAGTGAAGTAAATTTTTTTATTCTTAATATTTACTAATAACTTGTTATATAACTGTAAATAATATAAAAAATATTAAAAATTAATTTTAAACATATTTCTTTACACATTAGTTATACTTTCACAATGCAGTCACTGCTTTTGGGTAACATAAGTATATACTAAATTTCAGTCTTTGTAGTGTTAAATGGTAGAAAAACTGGAGTCAGAGTAAAGAAAACTTTTTGGGTTTTTTTTCTTTAAATTCTGGAAAGGAAAGTATAGTTGCTTTTAAATTTAAACAATTATACATACAGATGGGTGACAAAATAATGTACACCACCGCGAAATGGCATGGGTCCATTTCAAAGACGCAACAGCGCGCATGTCATTTTGCGTTGCAGTCCGCCGCCCAGCGGATCTGAAAGGTAGCCGCTCAACAGCTGCACAGGTGTTGCACGCGTCTATTGTAATTTCTGAAACGCAATAATGACGGACCCGTCAGAGTTCGAAAAAGGTATGATTGTTGGAATGAGTGCTTGCTGCCGGTGACTGCTCAGCTAATTATTTGAGGCGTGCTATACTGTATCTGCCGTTAAGTAGACAGCATACAAGAAGTGCGGGAATGTGGCGTCTGGCAAGCGCAACAGTGACGGAAAAAGAAAGCTTACCGAGAGGGATAAAAGAGTCTTAACCCGCATAGTGGGTCTGAAAAGCGCAAGCAATCGCTATCCCAAATAACGTCTGAGGTGAATAGTCATCTTCGTAACCCTATTTCAGCAAGAACCGTCCAAAGTGGAACCAATGCTTCTCGAACTTGTATGGAAGAGTTGCAATTCGTAAGCCTTTGCGTAAGCATCGTCATGCTTTACAGCTACGCCAGCGGTGTAGAACACAGACAGTGGACCCACAACAGTATCAAGTCATCTGGTCGGATGAATCAACGTTCTCCCTATTCCAGACCACCGGACGAGTTTTATGTGTGGGAGAAACACCCAAAGAAGCATTTGCTCCTGGAATGCATCATCCCACTGTGAAGCATGAGTGCGGGTCCCTTATGGTATGGGGCGATATCTGGCGTGTCTTGGGCCACTTGTTACCTTGCATGGCAAAGCGTCTGCTGCCCACTATGTCGATATCCCTGGGGATCAGGTGCATCCATTTGTCCAGACTTTATTTCCCGGAGAGTGCCCATTTTATCAAGATGACAACGCCTCATCCACAGAGCTAAAAATCGTGCAAGAATGGTTTGCAGAGCATGAGGGGATTCCAGGTCATCTTTTCGCCCCTTCAGTCACCTGATTTTAATATATTGAATATTTGTGGGGATGGTTTGAAGTCAAACCCGTGCTCGATTCCCCCCACCATCTACGATTTCGGCATTAGAGACCGCTCTCCACCAAGAATGGCTTCATATTCCATTGTGTTGTTCATGACCCTAAGTGCGTCCATCCCACGTCGCATACAGTCTGTAATTCAGTCAAAGGGGATCCAACTTCCCTATTAATAAAAGATACCTTCTCATGGTGTTCGTATCATTTTGTCACCCATGTGTAAATGTATTCATTGAAATTGCTTGGATGATATATTGGTTAGTCAATTACTGTCAATTTAGATTATTACGAGGTTTTTTTTAGCTTTGAACGTAATGTAGAACCAAAATCAAATAACGAGAGACACTTCTGAGCTCGATATCCTAAGTTAATCCTTACATCACTCAAGGACTTAACATGCCTACCTTTCTCCATAGAATATCTCCATGAGAAAATAGATATCATTATTCCACATAATGTTCCTGTGTGAAATCAGTACTGAAACCATGACTCGACACTTACATTTGTAGTCATAAATAATCAAGTAGTTTTGACTAGAAATCTTTTAATATCTAGTCGTGTAATTTTATATTACTACATTGTATTAATGAATTATAGTCACTTATTTTATTTATTTTTAATATTCAAGCATACACGAATTAATGACTAAATATTCTTCGATTTCCGTGCCTTTATTTCATAAATATAGACAATGAATACATTTATCCAATTATGAAACTTAAATAAGAATTTAAATTAAAAGCTCTATAGTTAGCTTTGTATCAGAGGAATATACGCATATATATTATAACGTTTGTACAAATGTTTTTTTAACAATGATTTTGAGCTTGAAGACTCTCAAAATGAGTATAATATATGGTGGCGTCTATTCATCATTACTATCTACAAACTCTATCTCTTTCTTTAAATCTGGCGATGGCTATGTATCCTTTCAACAGGTTTCATATCCATACACGAATTAATAATTTAAAAAATTCTTCAGTTTTTGCAACTTTTTTCCTATACATATACAATCCATCTATTCAGTTATAAATCTTATAAATCTTAAAGAAATTCTAATTTGCAAAAAAAAAAAAAAAAAAACTCTAGTTATAGGTTTTTGTATCAAACAACTATACATTAGCAATAACATTTGCACAAAAACTACTTTTTTTATGATGATAAAGTGCAAAGAACCATATTATGCATATTATGTATGGTAAGGAAAAGCTATAATGAAAGATTTTTGAACCCGAGAATCTCGTACCACATATTGTAAACAAAGTTTGTTTATATTTCCGACCCTCAACATTCTCACTTGATTCTAAACGCTCTCTCTTGAGTGGAGGAAAATCGAAAATTTTTAGGTCATTTTTAAGTTCTATGTCGGCAGTGAATAAAAGCCTCTATCCACATTCAAAAACTTTCCATAAATCCTAAATATAACCTTTTTTCAATTGCACATTTGTTAATTCATTCAGATAAGAAAAAAGTATACTTAAGACTTGTCGAAACTTTTTTCACAGATCAGAAATTTTATTTATAGTAATCAAAATACAATTTGTAGATTTACACCGAGAAAAACTGTTTCTAACTACCCATCAGAGGACATGAAGTGCAAATAAAGGTATCGTGCTGCCATCTGTATTGATTTTCATGCGTTTTAGCTTCAATTAATGCATGTGGATAGACTAAATACTCCCCACCCACTTTTTTGTTATGTGGTTAGACCTATTAGCCACTGCCCACTAAGGGGTTCAAAATTGATACAAATTTAATAGTGCTCTGTAAACTAGGAATAAACAAATAGAAAAAATACAATTTTTAAAGTTATTTCTTCTGTGTTCTTAATATTATCATGCCAAATATAATTACAACCACAATCTAGTACAGATTTGAATAAATTTCATTCAATTTTCTTAAATAATTTCCAATATAATAATTTTTTATTTGTAGTTAAAATAAAAAATAAGGCCGAGTGGTAGCCTATCGCGCTTTAACACCACAAGTTCGAGGTTCTATCCTCGGGATGGGCAAGATCTATTCAGCCTTTCCTCCCTCCGCCATGGGTCAATAAATGAGGGCCTAGCTTGCTTGGGGACTTAAACACTGGGGGTCTCGCTTCAGACTGACCACCTGATTGGGACATCTGCTCATGTGCATCAGCACCCAATGATCACACACACTGAGGTGGCGTAGTAGGCCTTGTCCTTCATGGGCTGTTGCACACACACACACCACTGAGTTTGAGTTTTCAAATTCAAAATACAGTAAATTACAATGTTGGAAGTTTTATTTAATCTAGTTTGAATTATAATTTTACAATCAACATAATTATCTTATTTAAAATCCTTTTCCTACATATTATTATTTCTTTACAATTTTAAGGACAATAACAGTAATTTTGAAATTGAACTCTAAGAAATTTATATTTAAAAACTATTGAACCGAAATATGACCTCGCACATGATCTTCACTACATTTATTTATTTATTTGCAAAGTAATGCATTAATGCATTTTAAAGTAATAACTCAGAAAAAAAACATATTTAAATTTGTAGTACTTCCCAAAAACACACGTTTTCTTTCATAAAAGAACATTACATAAAGGACAAACTTTTTAGAAAAATTTGGATCCATGCAGAAGGATTTTTTAAAAACATATATATATATATGTTACATTCTGAACATTCATTCATTTTTTACATTCATGAATTACTTTTATATAATTTTTTTCTTTCCGTAGTAACATTAAAAATTTGATTTTATAGAACCAAAGAATAAAGAAAAACTAATGTCCTCTAAAATATTCAAAAAATTCGTTTAAAGAACTTTAACATCCTCACCATTTAATAGAAAATGCAAAATATTTCATGTCGTCTCTTTGGTGCATTTTTAAAATCTTTGAAAATCATAAAAGCATTTTATAGATTCCTAACAAGAGAAGTTTGGTATTTTTGAAAATAATGCCTCAGGTAAAAGTCATCTAATTAACAAGAATATCGTAGCTACACACATTGTTACGTTTGAGTTAAAAAATATATCAATACTTCAATAAAATATTATCGTAGCTGCTAAAAATAGTTACTTTAACAAGACAGATTTACAAGCAAACTAAAAAATACATGACAAAGAACAGGATGTTAAACTAATTAGTGTAGTAGAAGAATGACAGGTTATTAATAAAATATCTGAACAATAACTTTTTCCTGTTCTAATTTTAGACATAGAAACAAATTGTGCAAATTTTATGACAATAATTGCCTCCATTTCAATTATTCTTAATTTATCTGGTTTCCTTATATCTGTTAAGGTAATCAGAATAAATAAAAATGCATTGTATTTGGGGTAGTTGCGTAAAATTAGCAAAGATGAAATCTAATTATATTGTTACGATGTTTCACTCATTTTTTTTTCAAACTAGCAAACAGACTTCCCAATAAATTTCGGAAGAGTATATGTTGTTGAACAGAAACATATAACACAATCACTGACGAATACAGATTTTATTTCAAACAATGATCCCAGCAAAGAACAGAAGAGAGAGGTACGCCTTTCGAGACGAAAATCCACTTCAGGGGTAGGTCCGATTTCTTTTCCCGAAGATGCATCCATGCCTTACTCGGAATTCGAACACGAATCCACTCGATTACAAGGCGAGTGTCATAACTACCATACTGAGTAGGGCCGCAGAAGAGTAGATACCATTAATGTAAAAGATGTTAAAGTTTGATGTAAAAAATATATAAGAAGTAATGAATTAAAGTACTGAAGAATCATCATCAAGGAGTTTTAACAAATTAACTGTGACATCCCTGTTTTTGAGAACATGTAACAATGTGTGACACGTAAATCGAGAGCGATGACTAAGCATACCTATCAATCAAAGGTAGTGTAAGTATCCTTGTTAAAAGAGCTGACCAAAAGATGGCTTATTGTATAAAATTGCACATTTTATTACTAATTCTTATTTATTTAACTCGTCTTCGTAGGTTCATGAGACTGACGGTCCTTCCGACCTTAAGTTTTTATGGATATCTATGAATTTTAGTAAGCGTCAAAATTCCTTTACTGATAGACCAAAACACACACTGTTTTACTACCTTCTTTACTAAAAAATATTTTCTACCTGTTTTGACACTTAGTAAGGTATGAGTGAGTGAATATAAACGTCACATTATTCAGCCACTCGAGTGCTTTTGGTGACGGACCTTGTAATTTTGAACCATGGTCAAGAAACCCCCCTCTACTAACTTCCACAAGACACAAACGAAATGACGTTTGATCCTCGACATATACATGCAGAAAGCCATACATGCCTCGGCTCTCTGCGCGGCGAGTCTTCAACGGTACTTGACATGAATTCATTACGGGCCTGCCACTAGTCCACTACCTTAACCACAAGGCTACCGCTGCCACATGATAGTGCTGGAGTAGGTGCAGTAGAGTTGATCACAGTCTTCTTACTATAATGCACTCTTGTCTTTCCTAAACCAATAAAATAGCAACATTCCATTGGGCCATTACTCTAATGTCAGCACTTTGCTGTAACATCAAACAATTGGTATTTGCATCACTCAATAGCTAGATAACTACGGGCCAGCATTTATCAATAGGCTTAGCATCTGGTCAGCGTTAGGCATTTGTCCCATGACAGACCATACCTGAGGGAATTTTTCGGCTTATGTCTTTGTTCCTCTTAGGCTAACTTTACAAAAAAAAAAAAAAAACATTTACATCGCTGAGAAATATATTTGTTATGAAAAATTATACGCTGTTTCAGCCGTTGCATAAGGGAACGCATGAGTTCATCTTGGATTTTTCACATTTTTTATTTATTTGTTTTACTTCACCCGGTCTCAAAATATTCTAATCATCTTGAAATTTGAGAATATGTTTTGTTTTTTTCAAGAATTATAATTTAATTAGCCAAATGCATTCAATTTTAACGCATGTTGTAGCGTATACCTGCCGTGCCTGCATCATCCTGCACCACCATAATGAGTACATTCATCAACCACACTTAACTGGTTAAATGATTTTTTCAGACATTTTATAAAATACGAGTATATTGATGTGATTGTGAAGCAATATATCATTATTCGCTAAGATTTTATATTTTTTCAATTTCCCTTAAAGTACTCGTAAATTGGAATAGTAATGTCATTTTTTTTATTAGTCATTCAATATATTTTTCTTTAATTCATCGTTATATTTAAATATATTATTCACTTTCTACGTTTATTTTATTTTTCTGAATTTTTTAATAACATTTTGCCTCAATTTTTAAGACTGTAATAGGAGCCCGGATATATCTTTTCTTCGCTTTTATATTTTTTACAGTTTCATTTCAAATAAAATGTAATAGAAAGTAATTTAAACTTTGATTTCAAAATAAATCATTCAGAGAAATGGCATTTAACTTGCTCTAATATTTTATTTTCTTAATTTTGAGCAGGAAATTGTTCAAATGTTTCCTGTTAATTTATTTTCGTAGCTTTCGTTTTACCTCAGCTCTTTTCCTTCCATGTACATAAGGCATTTATATTCGAACTTATTTAAATGTCTTCTATTAAAAACAAATCATATTACCCTAGTTTTGATTAAAGAATGAACTAAATAAATTGTATTTTAAACTTATATATATATATTTCTTCCGAATTATTTTCTCAAGAAATTCTCAAATGCATTAAGGGAATACTTTAATAAAAGTTTCAATTTTGGATGATTAAATAAGGCATACACATGCAGAAAATTACTTTACAAAATTACTACACGATATTTGAAAAACAAAATCAATCATTTTTCGAAAAGCTATTTTTGACAATAATAACATGTTCAATTTGGCCTATCTTTCATTATTTTTCCATTTATTTTCTAGTTATAGCAAAAGAATCGCTAGTATGGGATTTTTTATAGAAAAAATATTAAGATATTTCTTTCTCTTAACATAAAAATATAGCAGTAACGAATATAAAATCTGTCTATCTAGAACTGCTAAGCCATTGCTTTCAGCATACCTAAAGTGCACACAGACACCTTATACACCATGTACGATACCGAAAATACAAGTAAGAAATCGCCAAAAGTTCCAAAGATTTTTTTGTTTTTTACTCTGCTTTGTCAGCATTTGTTTATCTCCGATGTCTTTATTTCTTCGCCCCTTTCCTTGCTTATTCTTCAGATTTGTGTCACAATATATATTCGAAAGCATCTTTGTGGGCGCTTTAAAAGATATTTCAATATATATTCTATTTATTTTTCTCGTTTACTGATTATATATAAAATATTCGACATGAAATATGTAAATACATTTTCATCAAATACTTAAAGTTATTTATTCCTCAAAATTTGCTTTTTTTTTTAATTTTATGTCTTCATTTTTACTCAAAAGATTTATTTCAGTACTTTTTATAATTTCTTCATTATAATAATACATATTCATTATATAAGTCCTTAACAGAACTCTTTAATATCTTTTAGTGAATGAGCGTTTATTTACTTCTGACTCTAAAACAACAAGCTTAAGGCAAGATGGTTATTGGCGACGGACATCGTAATCTTGAGCCACCATCAATTGGCGAAGGTGAAACCAGAGATAGAACTCTCTCCAAAAGACCACACCACAGCGACGGAAGTACTTTGAGCCGAATCAGGTTTAAAGTGCATAAGCAGCTCTGCACGTCGTATCTTTATTGGAACTTCTAAATGGATGGACTTTTGCCACTGTTCAAACTCTAAAAGCTGCCGAGTAATTGACCTTACCATCTGGGTGAGTGGGCAAGAATGAGAGTTATCATTGCACTAAAAAGCAGCACGATGAGTATTGGCGATTGACATCGTAATTTTCAGCCATAATCAAGTGACGAGAACATCTGACCTGAATCCTCCTTCCTAGTTTCCACACCACACCAACGGGAGAATGTTTGAGCTTCGAAAAAGTTAAAGTTCGTCAGGTCACTTCACACGGTGGATCTTTAGCTTCATTATGCTTGAACTCATGAGCCCTAGACCGGGGATTCCCTTTGACCACCTTCCACGCCACACCATACCATCGGGATGCACCTTTGGGGTTAAGTCTCTATATAAAAAAGCCTCAAAAGTCGCTGTGGAAGAATTCTTCCCCAGTTTTTTGTGTTCCTCTTCACTGAAGGTTTGGGAAAATACCTGCAATTTGTGACGGGATTTCATCGCGATTTCCATTAATGTCCTCTTGGGGTTATAGCGTATTGGGGGTGGGGGATAATTAGATCCTCTGAAATGAGTACATCCTTCACAAACACAGACCTTTTATTGTATTCCAAAGCCTGCAGAATATTAGAAGTGCACAGAAAAAATCGTACTTTTGACAGACGTATATATACGTCCAGAGAAAAGAACGTTTTAGCTGAACGAGACGTTTGTATGCGTGGGTGGAACTTAAGACATTTAAATCCTATAGTAGATTTAGCATCAAAGTATCGTATTACTGAATTCAATTAATTGTTATAGTATGGAGGGGGACGCGAGATGAAAATTATGTTTGAATATTGGGTCGCAGGTATTGAAAGTTTTTGAGAAACACTGGTATTGTGATTAAGAAGATCTTAATAAAGAGATATTAAGAGGAATGCTATGTCTGGTTCTTCGTTATTTCCTACAGATACAGGTCGCGTAGATAACGTAGAAATGGTTCACCCACGGGCTAATGCCTCACAAATTTTATTATAGTTATGTGAACAATGCGGATCATTATCAGTAGCCTTATCACTCAGTTAATCATTATCACTCTCGAAGTCTCTTTATAATTTTTTTTCGAATGCTTTCGTTTTCATTTCCAATAAAGTACAATAATTTTTCAGACACAATAATCTATTTCTTCTTGAATGACCTTTATTTAAAAACTCTTTATTAATTCAAAAATGATAAGAGAATCATATTTTTAGATTTTTAATTGCGATTTTTCATATCATTTCTTATAATTTATTTTTCAAATATTATATAAATTAACCATAAATATAATCCGTTTTGAGGTTTACTGGAATCTTAGTGCATCTGATCGTTATGAATGATTATTTACACTCATTATTAACTTTTTAAATAAATTAATACTATTTTTGTGTTAAATGCTATAGTGTCTTTATATTATTATTTTTTGTGGGGATTTTCTCCTTCGTAATTATTTTTATATTATTATATATTAAATAAATTCTAGTAACATACTTTTAAACCCATTTGATAAATATGTGTGTGTGTTTAACACCTATTAGAAATCCTACTATTTAAGAAGTACATTGATAGATTTTTGCTCCGGTTTCGAAACTAATATTTCGTCAAAATATATTCAAGTCATTTCTTTAAATATATAAATTAATAATAAAAATATCAGGTTTCTTATTTATATATATATATATATATATATATATATATATATATAAAGGATGCTCTAATTTATCTAGAGTAGTAATGAATGATTAAAAACAAATGATTCATGCAAGGTTTTAAAATATTGTAGTCATATTTGTTTTTCACAACTTAAAAATAAAATTAAAATACATCATATATTTGTGTAGGTATACATACAACTAAAAAAGGAATTGTTATAAAAGGTGCGAAAATAAGATTAAAAGGATCAGTCACAATTTTAAATGATTATAAAAGAAATTTGTTAAATTAAAATTTAAGTTATTCAAATTTGCTTAACGCCAA